CGCCCGGGCTGGGGGGGCCCGGCCGCGGGCGCGGAGCCTGGCGCGCCGGGCTGGGCGCGCTCGGGGGGCGTGGCCGACCGCAGGCGGGCGGCCAGGAACTGCTGACCTGGGCGGAGGCTGGGCTGCGGGCTGTGGGGCCAGCCGGACGGGCTGGGAACGGCTTCGGTGAGTGCGGCCGGGCGCCGGCCTGTGTCCTTGCGAGCTGCATTCTGGGTGAACGCGACCGCAGACGCGGACTTCGGCCTGGAGCCTCCGAGGCGAGAGCGCGCGTCTCGTCTTACGGATAAACGATCGGCGGCAGTTTCTGGAAGTCGCGGTTCCGGAGAAAAAGTTTCTCGAGTGAGAGAGAAAGTATAGGCGGTCCGTCTCCCGCGTGTGCTTGGCAGAAGTGTCTGTTGCCAAGCGCCCGGCTGACTTTATCTGATTTTCCTTTCTTACTCCGTGTCTTTGAGGGCACGGAGGGCTTCCTTGGGAGTGGAGGAGGTGCCGGGTCGCCCTCCGCGCTGACTCCGCCGTGTGCCGTTCATGCCGAGGAGCAGAACGCCAAGGGCGCTTCACGGAGGCGCACGGGGAGCGCCCCGTGTCCGGATGCGGGGTCGCCCGACAGCATAGCTTGTCAGGACTCACGGAGGCAAACAGGCCCGCTGATGTAACTTGCATATTCAACGAAAACCAGAAGAACTAAAAATAAAATTGACTAAAGTCAATGAAAGACTGATAACTCCAACTATGGTGAGAGTGTAGAAGAATTTTGGAATTCTCGTACAGTGTTGGTGAGAGCATAAAATGGGTTGACTACTTTGGAAAATAGACAATTTCTTACAAAGTTAAACGTACACCTCTGCTGTGGGCCGAGTGTTTGGGTCCCCCCCAAATTGTTATGTTGACATCGTAAACCCCAGAGCAATGACTGAGACGTTCGGCTGGCGTCGGTCAGGAACCTCAGCAGTGGTTGTAGTGCCGCTAATGGGGGGTAGAGAAACCCTTGCTTCTCCGCCAGGTGCGGACCAGAAACGCCGGACAGACCCTGCACCTGCTAGCCTGGACGTGCAGCCTCTGGACCAGCGGCTCTGATACCTGGTGTGGTTCCTCCCAGCCCCAGGCACTTGCCTAAGTGATGAGGGCGGGAGTGTGAGGAGGACGTTCCCAGCTGCTGCAGAGTCTTTTTTTTTTTTTTTCCTTCTTTTTCTGGAGAAGGTTTTGCTATAGGGCGCGTGTGCTCCCCAGAAAGACAGAGACAGAGAGACAGAAAGCGAGAAATCACCCCCCAGCGGGGATGGCCACACCGCAATCCCTTCTCCTCCATTCTCCTCTCGGGATCTTGGGCACGCACACACACGCACCCGGCGTGAGTTTTAAGCCACCGGGTCTGGGACTCGAACCGAGGTTGACTACATGGGAATCCAGCGACATAGCCATTAGGCTAACTGCTGGCCCCACAACTGCAGAGTCTTAATGGCCACATGCCAATCGCCATGTATGTGATAGTCAGGGATGAACAATCCCAAAATACGCCCAACTGGCACATTGAGTATTTCAAGGTGAAACCACCTGAGAATTGTAGCTGCAGAAAAGGCCGATTGACCACTCTCCCTACGTGCAGCCAGCCCTAAAGATTCCTCTAGGGGCGAGGTTGGGCACTAGATTCCCTTCTGCTTGACTGTGGTTTGAGTCTTGGACCTGGCGGCTTGAAACACCACGCTAGGTGTGTGTGCATGCATGCCCCAAATCCCAGGAAGACAATGGAGCGGAGACTGCAGTGCGGCCATCCCCCTCGGAGGGCAATTTCTCACTTTCCTTCTGTCTCTCAGGTGAGCACATGCCTACCCTATGGCAAAAAAACAAAATAACCAAAAATTCCTGCAGGAGGGATGTCTTCCCATCCTAGGGCTAGGAAATAGCCTTTGTCACCAGACTGGGCGTTTGGGCTCCAGTGCCCCTGATCAGCGCCCAGATAACCTTGTCTTCCACTAGCACAATGACCCATAAAGCTCTTAGTGACTGCTCTACCATCTGCTGCCTGAGATCCCTGTGTCCTTCAGAGATTTCACATCTAACTTCTTTTTTTTAATTTTATTTAATTTGACCAGAGAGGAACAGAGTGACAGAGAGAGAGGGAAGTGAGAAAGCAAGATGCCAGGTCCATGACTTGAACCATGGTCGGCCATGTGGGAGTGTCCAGTGCCCTTAATCACCACACCCCCTGCCAGCCCCACCTGTGTCCTTCACAGACGTTATCATTCTTTGTCTGAAAAGCACAAAAACACCTCGCCTTGGCCACATCTTCAGACCTCACACTCCCCTGGAGATGCTCACGTATGGAGCTAGAAAAGCCATAAAACTTGCTTGCTTCCCTTTCTATCCTGCCTTGTTTTAGTTGGGTTCCTAGATGCAGCCTGAAGAGCCCCTAGGGTCTGAGAGAGGAGGAGATCATTGGCCCTCTCTCCATATGTCACCAGGTAAGTGTAGAATTGTCACATGATGGGGCCGGCAGGTGGCGTGCTGGTGAGGGGTGCTGGACTCCCACATGGCGGACTGTGTTTCGAGTCCCAGACTTGGCAGCTTGCTTTCTCACTTTCTCTCTCCTTTCCCTCCACTTCTCTGGTCAAAATATATATAAAAAATTGCCACATGGCAGATACTGGCACATGACAGTCACTGTTCAGCAACATCAGGGCCTTTGCCTAAGAGCCAGTACACAGTAAGGGCTTAGAAAACATGAGCTACTATTACTGCTTCTGCAGCTTGAACTATATATTTCTTGTGTGTGCTTACATTCCAAGGGGTGACTGGATCCTCCTCCTAAGAGACTTTGTTGCACAGGTGGTGTGGTGGTTAAGGGTGTTGGACTCCCACATGGCTGACCACGGTTCAAGTACTGGACCTAGCGGCTTGCTTTCTCACTTTCTTTCTGCTCCTCTCTGGTCAAATTTAAATAAATAAATAAAGTAATTCTTTTAAAAAAAAATAGACTTTGTTGTGAGTCACGATCCAGGTAGTGCTGAGGACTGATTTGGAAAATTGTGGAACAGATATCCGTTTTCCATTCTTTGTTTTTTAAAATTCACCAAAAGGTGCATGTGCTTGCCAGAGAGGGAGAAAATGCCCTCTCCATCCTGTTGGGATTTGGGCATGCATGCGCACGAGTTTGTATTTCTTCTAGAGAAATTTTTGCTATAGAGTGCATGCACTTGCCTGAGAGACAGAAGGCGACAACTTCCTCCCCTCCAGGGTGGATGGCCACACCACAATTCCTTCTCCATTCCCAAATAACAGGCTCAGTCGTAGCTGGGCACGCCACTGTCCACATAACGCACACCCAGTGGCCAAGCATAGGCAAGGCAGTGATGTCCCTGGGCTGCAGCTGGCAGTAAAGGCCAGTGTGCCTGCCGAGCCCCCACCCACCCCAGGGATACAGACAAGGTGGGACTGGGCGCAGCTGTGCTGGGCCGCAAGTGGAGGCTGTGGGTGTGGGCTAAGCAGAGAGCAGGCAGCTGTATCCTCAGCACCCTGAAGGTGAAGCTGCTCTCGACCTGTGGGACGTGACACTTCCCAGGTAGCCGTGGACCAAACTGGAGGGCACCCAGCTGGCATCTGCTGCCTGGTAGGAAGTAGTTTCCCACACGTTTCGGTGCCACAGGTGATCTGTGCTGTGAGTGTGTAGGAGAAACCGGGGTAAGCGTGGAGTGGAAGCAGGGAGGTCTCACGTGGCCTTGGGTAACTAATACGGTCAGTCCGCAGGTTCCTCCTAGACCTGAGCGCCAGGTGGCCTGTGTCTCTAGTCTGCTGTGACACCCAAGTGCAGATGCCGGAGAGGAGAGAGTGACAGGTCAGCAGCTGAGATGTGGCGATGTCGCAGTCTAGGGTTTACACTCCGGCTGCGATTAGACCCCGTTCAGTGGAATCCTCAGCCAACTGAGGTAGGCTCACCGAGTAATGTCTCACTTAACCAGGGGAAAATAGGCCCGGGCTGGCAGGTGGTGTGGTTGTTAAGGGGCTGGACTCCCACATGGCAACCTTGGTCCAAGTCCTAGACCTGGCAGCTTGCTTTCCCACTTTCCCTCTCTCTCTCTCTCTCTCTCGCTCTCTCTCTCACTCTGTCCCTCTCTGGTCAAATTAAGTAAAGTTAAATAAAATAATTCCTTTAAAAAAGGAACAGGACAAGAAATAGTTCAACAGGGAGTAGCTAATAACTGTTTCATCTTTTAATTTATTTTATTTTTTGGAGAGGTTTTTCGCTATAGGGCACGTGCGCTCGCCAGACAGACAGAGACATAGAGACAGAAAGCGAGAAATCACCCCCCAGGGAGGATGGTCACGCTGCAGTCCCTTCTCCATTCTCCTCTCGGGATCTTGGGCACGCACGCACACATGCCCGGCTTGAGTTTGAAGCCACCGGGTCTGGGACGCGAACCGTGGTCAACTACGTGGGAGTCCAGTGACATAGCCATTACGCTTACTGCTGGTTCCCTCATCTTTTATTTTTCACATTAGTTTTTTTAAGAGATTTTTGCCATAGGGTGCATGCACTCGCCCAAGAGACAGAAAGCAAAGAATCACCCTGGAGAGGAGGGTGGTGGCCAGACCGCAATCACGCCTCCATTCTCTCAGAATCTTGGGCGTGCACACACACACGTGCCTGGCATGAGTTTAAAACCTCCAGGTCTGGAATTCGAACGGCAGTCAGCCATGTGGGAGTCCAGCAATGTAACCATTATGCCATTGCTGGTCCCAATTTTTAAATATTTTTAGTTTTTGACATAGGGTATGGGGACCAGCAGATGGCATGATGGTGAAGGCATGTGCATTTGCTAAAGAGAAAGAAGGTGTGGAATCGCCTCTGGGGTGATGGCCACACCAGTCTCTCTTCCTCCAGTTTCCTCTGGGGGGGCGGGGGGGACAAGGGCACACACACCCAGTGTGATTTTCAAGCTGCTAGGTCTAGGACTCAAACTGCAGTCAGCCATGTGGGATCCAGCACTCCATCCTCCATGCCATCTGCTGGCCCCCGACCTGATGATCTTTATTTTTTAAAATTTATTTAACTTAGTCATTATTTGACCAGAGACAGAGAAAGGGAAAGTGAGAGAGGAAGCTGCCAGGTCTGGGACTTGAATCATGGTCAGGCATGTGGGAGGCCAGCACCCAACTACCCCACCACCTGCTGGCCCTGACCTGGTAATTTTTAAATACTAAGCATCTGTCAGTGATCAGCCCTTGGCTTGTACCTCAAACCAAATTTCTGACGCACTGCCGCTCCAAGCACCAGATAGCTACCCCCATTTTTCTGGGCATCTCTGGTCTCAGGGAGCAGCTAGGAAGTAGACAGCTTAAAGGCAGATCCCTCAACTGGCTGGTTTGGTGTCTGTAAATGTTTAACGACTTTATAGACAGAGTCAGATACTGAGACCAGCAGTTGGTGTAACGGCTATGTCACTGGACTCCCATGTAGTCAATAGTGGTTCGAATCCCGGACCCAGTGGCTTAAACTCATGCCGGGCGCATGTGCGTGCGTGCCCAACATCCCAAGAGGAGAATAGAGGAGAAGGGATTGTGGCATGGCTGTCCCCACTGTGGGGTGATTTCTCACATTTTGTCTTTCTGTTGAGTGCACACACCCCATAGCAAAAACCTCTCCAAAAATAAATAAATAAATAGATGTTAGATACATAGAAATTCCCTTTAAAGGTTACTGTAGGGACCAGCCGGTGGTGTCATGGTTAAGGTGCTGGACTCCCATGTGGCAGACTGGTTTGAGTCAACCTGGCAGCCTGAAGCTCACACTGGGCACGCGTGTGTGCGTACCAAAAATTCTGAGGAGGGACTGTCATGGCCATCACCCCCGGCGGCGATTTCTCGCTGTCTCTGGTGAGCGTGCGTGTGCACTAGGTACTGCATCACAGAAGATAGTGGTCGGGACTTCCACTCAGATGACCCGAGTTGGTTACAGAGGCTAACAAATGGAACCTGGGAAAAACAAGTAAATCCAACCACAAGGCCAGCCCTGTGACCACATGCTCATCCCCTTCTCAGTCACACTGTGACTGGCTGAAAGCGCTATGAGCCTGGCTGTTACTGACCAGATGGAATGTGGATGAAAAAGCCAAGAGGAGTGGGAGGAGGAGTGCTGGGGTCTGAGTTACAGGCCAGCCTGGCTGGTACCAGTGGCTGCTCAAGATTCTAGTGCAGGGTGTGCTGTGGACGAGGGACGGCCTCAGCGCGCCCACACCTCCCCTCACTCAGAAGCACGTGCTGTCCCCACAAACGCATCTCCACTTTTGTGGCCCTTGCACATGGCAACGAGTCTGGGTTCAAGGGGGAAAGGACTGGAGTTGCTGTTCACTTGCTGCAGTCAGAAAAAGGGGGTATGTGGGACCAGCAGTCAGCGTAATGGCTGTCGCTGGACTCCCATGTAGTCGGCCGCGGTTCGAGTCCCAGACCTGGTGGCTTAAACTCACGCCGGGCATGTGTGCGTGCGTGCCCAAGATCCTGAGAGGAGAATGGAGGAAAAGGGATTGCGACGTGGCCATCCCCTCTGGGGGGTGATTTCTCACTGTCTCTCTCTGTCTCTGGCAAGTGTATGCACCCTGTAGCAAAAACCTCTCCAAAAAAAAGGGGGGTAGATTACACATTCTGTCTGAAACATTGGCAGAACAGTGATTTTTTTTTTTTTAAAGGTTTTTGCTATATGCATGTGTGTTTGCTGAAGAGACACACAGTGAGAGGGGAAGTGAAAAATCACCTCCTGGGGGACCAGCAGTTAGCGTAATGGCTATGTCACTGGACTCCCATGTAGTCGACCATGATTCACATCCCGGACCCGGTGGCTTAAAACTCACGCCGGGCATGTGTGCACGCGTGTCCAAGATCCCAAGAGGAGAATGGAGAAGGGATTGCATTGTGGCCATCCCCCGTAGGGGGTGATTTCTCGCTTTCTGTCTCTCTGTCTGGTGAGCACACGCGCCCTATAGCAAAAAACCTCTTCAAAAAGAAAAAAAAAAAATCACCTTCAGGGGCAGATGGCCACACCAGTCTTTTCTTCTCCATTCTCCTCCTGGGATTCACGTTCCTGGCATGACTGTCAAGCAGCTGGGTCTAGGACCTGAGCCATGGGCGGTCATGTGGGAAGCCAATGCCTTAACCTCCACACCACCCAGTAAAATTCTTTTAAAACAAAGATCTGAACAGTGTAACATGAGATAAAAGTTACTCCCAAATATGACAAAATATGAATATTAAGATGAAGTCTCTTCAGTGAAATATGAAATCTTTACCAAAAAATAGTTTATTGCACAAAATTTAAGGAATTCCCAAGCACACTTAAATTTCTATGTAAACATGCTTCTTAAAGTTACAGTTTGTTGTACACGGTGACACTTTTTCCCTGAACAGCCCCTACCTGAGGACTCTCTTTTGTGAGGAAATTCTTGATAGAAATTAACATCTCAAGACCATTGAATTTTCAGATCCCTCAAGGATCCTGCTATAACCTGAGACCACCTGTATAATGAGTTACCTGGAACTTTGAGTCAACAAGCTTGTTAGAACAAGGCCCACGTCTCAGCGCTGACGTCACGAGGGGTCTTCAAAAGGAAGTTCCCAGGACCTTTCTATCAAATATGCTTGTTCCATGTACACCTAAGGCCTTCACACATGACATTCAGTAATTAAGGATCCTCAGGAAAGTGGGGAAGTGAGTCATGGTGACTTTGCAGGCCTCCTGGCTTCTGCAGTCTTCCAAACCTTGAGTTGAGCACAAGCACCCTGACGCAGGTCCACAGGCTGCTATTCCCAAGGGTCGCTACCATTCCTGCACCCAGGCCAGACTGCAGTCAGTGTCACAGCCTATGAAAAAATGACCCTGCCTGGTACCTCTTCCAGAGAGCAGAGGTGTCCATCCCGATGGTACTGCTGCACCGGCCTGCCACGTACCATCGGGAAGTAGCTAACCCGGACTGCAGCACGTTTGGGGAACATCAGACAAATGACATCAGGAAGTGCCAATGACTGTGACAGCACATGGCAGACAGCACGTGGGTGAGAGTGGTCAGAGGTAACGCAGGGGTGAAACCTGGGTCTTCATGAGTAAATTCCACAACTCCACTTGTGCCCACAACAATTAAAACATCTTATGAAGAATCTAGCCCTGGGAGGTAGAGTGCTGGTAGAGACTCTGAAGATAGAAAGACACAACAACCCAAAGCAGGCAATTTGAAATGGAACTTCCTCCAAGGTGACTTCTTCAGGAAGCCAGTGGCCTCGGCTCCAGGACGTGGTTTGTGTGTGGAGAGGGAGGAAACAACACTGACTGCAGGTGGCAACAGGCAGCAGGCCCTTCACTGGGCCAGAGGCAGCACTGATGGCGAAGCACACAGACCGACCACAGATGCTGTCTCTGAGGGGCGCGCACACATGCACACGCAGACACACGCGCACAGGCCAGCGAGACTAAAGAAGGAACAGAGATCTGCTTTCACTGGAATATATTCATCAATTTTTCCCTTCCTAAGAGGAAAAAAAAAACAGAACAGTGAACATCACTCACTTGAAGACCAAGGAGTGGGAAAGTTCTGCCAGAGTAAATCTAAGCATTACCTCTTGGTTTTAAAACTAAAAGATAACACAGCCAAATAAATTAGGACATAAGTTACCATTTTTCTAATGGTAGAAAAACAACTTAGTCAAAAATGATTTCCAACTTTAGGTAGAAAGTAGGATGTATTTATATGCAAGTTTTCAAGTATCAAGATTCCCTTGTACAAATGATGTCTTAATATGTATTTTAGAAGTTCTGGGGAACCAGCAGTTAGCATAATGGCTATGTCGCTGGATTCCCACGTAGTCGACCACGGTTCGCGTATCAGACCCGGTGGCTTAAAACTCACGCCGGGCGCGTGTGCGTGCGTGCCCAAGATCCCGAGAGGAGAATGGAGGAGAAGGGATTGCGGCGTGACCATCCCCCCTGGGGGGTGATTTCTCGCTTTCTGTCTCTCTGTCTCTCTCTGTCTGTCTGGCGAGCGCACGCGCCCTATAGCGAAAATCTCTCCAAAAAAAAAAAAATAAGTTCTGACACTTGCTAAAGGAGTATTACATCTTTGTAGTTAATGCTACTCTTTCCTTACTAACCTTCTTATGGTGTACTGCAAGAAAACAGTTTAAAAATAGACTGCTTTCTGCACAGAATAGACACAAGTAGTGTATCAAGAGCATACCTGGATCGATCTGTGCACTCAGAGCTTCATTCCAGATCAGCAGGTCTGTGCAGGAGCCCACACAGACCCACCCCCTTTCTCCTAACTCCTAACAATAAATATTATCTTGGATTTTCTTAGCAAACTGGGAGGAGGGCCTCCTTCTCTGGTCAGTTTGGGATCTGCAGTGTTTCAGTACTTTGGGATGGAGACAGAACCTGATATATTGTGCTGATTTTAAATAGGATGCCTGTCACAGGCACCTTGGAACCACAGTGGCCTCCCTCAAGGTGTGGCCTACCTTCCATACTGCCTCCACACCCCTGTGTAACCATGAAGGACTTAGGCTCTCTTGATAACTGAAAGGCCCTAGCACACAGTTACTCAGGACGCAGACGTGTGCGGCCAGGGATAAGCCTTGCCACCTGCTGTGAGATCAGCATGGGCTGGGCTTGAGTGGGAAAGCAGGAGTCCCCACAGGGAGGCCCTGGCCCACTCACCACCGTCACTGCCTTCTCTGCATTCCTTCCTATCCTGCTTTGGCTTTTTCTTGAGCTCCCCACAAGTCAGGCAAGCATCTGGGGCCTCAGTGTCCTTATGCCTCTTGGTGGGCACCAGGTCAGACACATGACCAGCAATAGCAAAGCTGGGTCTGATGACAGGGCCGATGTTCCGTCAGGACGGCACTGCACTGTGCACTGATGAAGTGACCACGCAGGAAATGGAGACCCTCAGAGAGAAGTAAAACCACAACAATGGAGAACCTTTTCTGTGTTAGAAAATTTAGTTTTGGGGACCAACAGATGGTGTAATGGCTACCTTTCAGGACTCCCATGTAGTTGGAGCCCTGGACCCAGCGGCTTAAAACTCATGCCAAGCTCGTGTGTGTGCATGCCCCCAAGATCCCAAGAGGTGAATGGAGAAGGGATTCCAGTGTGGCCATCCCTCCGGCAGGTGATTTCTCATTTTCTGTCTCTTCATCTCTGGCAAGCGCACATGCCCTATAACAAAAACCTCTTAAAAAAAGAACATTTGGTTTTGGAAATTAAATAAAATAATTATGTTCCTTAAAATGTAATCTCTGACTTGACATCCCTAGATCCTACATGTACACTACTTCCTGACAGCAAATATTCAAAAGGCAATCAATAAAAGGACAATTAGATCATTCTTAAATAGGATCATATACTTTCAAAAGATTAGATTCTGCTTTTCAGCATTTATATACATATCCTATGGTGGGATGGCTATTGAAAAGAAAAAGCCAAAGGTGCAAATAAAAGCTCTTTCTGTAGCAAAGTAAAGCTCTTTCTGAGTCAAACTGGAAAGTGAAAAGCTGCACCATGGACCTGGTTGGGCACAGCTCCTGCCAGCAACTGTTTCAAGCACGACCCACAGGAGGCACCTCGGGACCACAGTGGCCTTCCTCACGGTGCTGGCCTGTCTGAACTGCCTCCACACTCCACATGAAGGACCCAGGAGGAACAGTGTCTGTCGTCACTGAGGAGAACTTGCTTCTGAAGGGAACCCTTGAGACACATTTGAAAATTCCTCATTGAGAGCTAAACTGGGTTTCTAAGATTTGGTCCATTCATGGGAAAAGCTAATTATGATCTTCAGATGACCATTTTGCTCTCGTTCTGTAATTTTACTCCTTGTTAAAGGCAAAAGCAAAACTTAACTTTCATTTTTTAAGGAAAAAATCAGAGCACATAATCAAATGAGTAATATTAAGTGTCTCCCTCCTTCGGGAGGAGGCTGTGGCAGTCACTGTCCTCAGCAGCCCCTGCAGGCCCCACTTCGACTTGGCCACATGGTGGTGCCCTGGAGTCCCCATGATCTTGCACAAGGGTAGGAATGGCAGCCGCCTGCTCGGCCAGGCAGCCTCCTGCTGGAGTCCAAGAGGACAGGGACTCATGCACGGTGATGGTGTGCTCCTCCATCTGGCGCTGCAGGCTGTCCATCTCCTGTCTAGGGAGGGAAGAGAAGGCCAAGGTCACATCAGAGCAGGCAGACCCTGCCACCCTGCCTCATTTAGAACAAGCTTGAGCCCCCTGGCAGCCTGTGACTTCAGAAACCCACAGGTCTCCATCGGGGACAGCAGAGCTAAGGCTGTAGGGCATCGCGCTCCCAGCACTTGTCTCTGCTGTGCAGAGGCCAGCAGAGCGCCATGAAGCTCAGCCTTCTGCTTTGGGAGAAGCTGGCTTCCACTGGGGATATGCAGAAGACCAAGAACCAAAGTCGTTATGTGGGAACCCATTACAACAGACATCCTGCCGCTGGCCTAGGTGGTCACGTCCTGCAAACACTGACCTCTTCTGTCCTCAGGGAGGCTCAGCCTACAGGCTGATGGGTGCAAAAGGTCTGCTCTCCCAGCTTCTAAGGGCTTAATTCCAGGCAACTCTCACCTGACAATATGGATCGAGAGGCCTGTGTGCAAAAAACCCCATTAACGACCGGCACCAGCCTTGCTGGGCAGTCGACACTGGCAACAGTTAAGATTCCCCCAAGTTAAACATGCCACTTGTCTTAAAACCCTAAATGAGACGGGCATAGACGCAGAGCCTACTTGAGCTGCTGGAGACAGCTGTTCAGGTTCCTGAGGGGCTCCTTGCTCACAGCAGGTGGAGGCTTCAGCAGCTCCTCCAGCAGGGAGGCTGGGACAGGGCAGTCAGGGACCCTGATGGGCGTCGTGGGGTTGGAAGAGCTGGCCTCGCCTTTTAGTTCTTTCCTCTGTGGTTAAAAACATACCATTAACTTCCCAGTCCCTCCCTCTAGCCAGCCAACGCATGGCAGGCAAGCCTTCTCCAGCTCCACGGGAGACCTCCCAGCCCCTGGCTCAGCACAGCCCGGTACTCCCAGGGTCCTGGATTTAGTCCTAACATCACAGAGCTCTCAGGAAGACAGAACTAGTCCTAGTCTGGCACCTCACACCAGATCTGTGGCCTCCAACGCACACCAGCCAAGAGGTGTCAAGTAAACCTCTGAGTCTGAAATGTCTTTGTACCTGCCTCCTGGAAAACACAGTGAGACTAGCATGGAAATACTGCCAGGGAGGGCTGGGTGGGGGCGCTGAGATGTACTGCAGCTACATGGGACGGCCCTGCATTCAAGTCTGAGGACCTCCCAGAGTACAGCAGATACAGGCATTCTGTGATCCGGGCAGATAAGACCCTGGGGCTGCTTCTATCTCTGCCTCAAAGAAAAGGAAAAACTGCCAGGGATGCAGGACTGCGTAGGGCTGCTGACAGCAGCGTCAGGGGGTGCTGGGTCAAACCTGCTCTGCAGCAGACAGTCCCCGGCTCCTAGAGTGCAGGACTGCCACACACACACACACATACTCTCCTTTGCCCGAGAAAGTGCATCACATCAAAGCAGTGTCTGCATTCATGAAAAGCAGCAAAAATTGTTGGGAAAGGGACTAAGATCTAGCTGTCTGGCTGCTGCTGGTGAGCACTCCACTACACTCCCCCTGCACACAGCAGCCGCCCAGTGCAGGGAGGTATCCTGCTCGAGTCAGAATGACAAGCCCTGCCAACCTCCCAACCAAACACCTGCGGCAGGTGTGGTTCACTGAGGGGCCAGGCCTGCATACCGTCTTTGCTGCACTGCGACGCAGGTCCAGCTGGAGCTGCTGGTTTTGCTGCAGAAGAGTCTTCATGTTGTTCTTCAGTTCAGACACTTTAGCTTGAAGCATAAATTTGTCCTTCTGGGTCATGGACAGATCTTCCTGCACCATCTCTAGCTCAGACTTGATATTCTAAGGAAAATGAAGTCAGATTTTTGGAAGCTAAAAGATCTTTAAACACACTACTAAGATCTCAATTTCTGTGTCTCAGTTCCAAAGGACCAAGAATGCAGCCCTGGTTGTACAGGATGAAGTACGAGGGGTCTTCAGAAAGCCCACAGTACACGTCATCATGAGAAAGCTATGCCAGGATTTCAGAAGAGTTTTTTTGGTACCAAAACAGACTCGGACTTTAATTCTTTTCTCCGTGCACTGTTTGGAGCCCCTCACGTGACGCCTCCACCTCAGCATGGCTTCCCCTCCAGTCTGTAGATGGTTAAGGACCCAGCTACAATCACACCCTCCACACTCTTCCCACATTCTAGAGCTTCTGCCAAAGGATCATGAGATCCCCATGTCTGCGTTCTACAACAAACCCTAAGAATCACCTACTTAAGTTCTAAGGTCATCGTTAAAATACCTAAGCCATTCCTAAAAAATGGTAGAGACTAAAGTGGTCATTTGCAAGTGAGAAGTCTCAGCAAGCTCCACCCCCAGCCCTCCTCCTGGCACAGAGCCCTGTATACATCAGCTGTCACAGCCATGGTGACAAGCTTCCTACACGCCCTCCCCTGTGCAGAACTTTGCTGCACGGATCTCACTCCTGGTACTTCCCAAGCTCGGTCCAGGGGTGGTGCCTGGGTTCTATTCTCAGCCCCACCTCCCCCAGCTGTGTGACCTCAACCAGGTGACCATGCTGAGCCTATGGAAATGAGACAATGTCTTCAGACCTGTTTGGTGGGAGCACCTATTCCACAGGAGTCCTGTCTCATATGCAGCATGCTGCCTGGCTCACCTGCAGTATCAGCAGATGGGACCGGCGTGTGATCATTGAGGACTGCGGAGCACCCCAGCCTTGCAGACCATACCTGCAGCACCTGCCGAGTCCCGTCCAGCTCCTTCCTGTTCTGCTGCTCTGTCAGATCCAGCTGCTGCCTCAAGGACTGGACTTCTCTTTCTTTCTGGTCCACCTCCCATTTGAGATTTTCCATCTAGTAGGGGGAAAGTCACATGGCCATGAGCATTCTGAAATGGCTTTCTGGCCATGGAAAACTGCTCTAGCTGTATGTCACTTTATGTTTTAATAACACACACACACACACACACACACACACACACAACAAAACAAAAGAAGACAAAAACTTAATATTCTTCTCCAAGCAGGAGGCAGGGGATGAAGCAAGCAGTCGCCATTAGACAGAGGCTGACTCTGAGCTGCCTGTGGTCACCTCTTGGTTTCCTGTGGGCTGCACGCTCAGCTGTTCATCCAGCTGCTTCTGCAAAAGCTGGAGTTGGGTACGAGCCTCGGCCAGCTCCTCTTGGAACTGCGCTACTTCCTGTGAATGTTTCCCTTCCAGACCCCTAGCATAAAAACAAGAATGGAGTTACAATGTTCTTACCACTCACCCTCGCCCTCCACAGCCCTGCTGAGGTCAAGCTGCCCTGTCTTGCTGAGACAACCGCCCACCTCGTGCTGTGCACTGTTCTGGGTGCACAGCTCAGCTGGTTACCCCTCGACAAACCCCGGAGAGACATTAACAGACCTCACAGGCTATGGTGCTAACGGCTGTGTGATCACACAGTGAGTGCTGACATCCACGCCTGTGCACTGTCCACACACACGCCAGGCCCCCACATGTCTGACTCAACGCTACATCTGTGTGGAGTCTGATGAACCTCCCAGAGCCAGGACAGCTGTCAAGTCGGTACGCACACTTGGGCTCTCTCTGTCCTCAGATCAGGGCAAAGAGCTCAGCTCAGCTTATGGGGACTGGACACGGAGTATCCTCCTTTCTTTTGCCTCTAAAGTACTTAGCAATTGGCAAAAAAAAAAAAAAGTGTGGTGGGGGAACCCTGGCTGTGCTGGACATGGGACTCAGATAGAGGAGACCCTGACAACAACGCGCAGTGGCTGTAACCCCACATGGCACATGACACCTTCTGTGCGTGAGGCCTGGAGTTCTGCATGGTCTGGGCACTCACCGGAGGCTGTCAGCTTCTGCCTGCAGCTTCTGTACCAGGAGCTCCTTGGCCTGCAGATCCTTTTTCACCTCGCTCAGCTCCAAGGTGGCCGCTTTGAAGTGGCGGCGGTTATGTCCAGCCTCCGCCTTGACGGCAGCCACCTAAAGGAAGGCGCGGACGTCATCACAACACGTGGTGTCTTGTGTGGTACCTGTGGCTTTACGGCGCACCACATTCAGGGGTGAGGCCCCTCCGACCCCACATCTGGCAGTATCTGAGCTCCTGAAGGGAGAAGCACCCAGCACACAGAGCACAATGCTCAGCCTCACTGAACGGGCACACTTTTTTTCGGGTTCCCTGGCCTAGTTTTCATTGCCTTCTTCAACTATCTTTGCATATTTCATATTGCATATTAAACTTACTCTCAGTTCATGTACTGTGAGCAGAATCTGCTTTCCCATCATGGCTTCTAACTGTAATAATGCTATGGACGACCAGAAGATGGCATAATGGCTATGTTGCTGGACTCCAATACATGTAGTCGACCACAGTTCAAGTCCCGGACCCAGTAGCTTAAACTCACGCCAGGCACGTGTGCGTGCATGCCCAAGATTCTGAGAGGAGAATGGAGAAGGGTTTGCAGCATGGCCATCCCTCTGGGAGGTGATTTCTCGCTTTCTATCTTTCTCTTTCTGGCGAGTGCACGCACCCTATAGCAAAAACCTCTCAGTAAACAAATAAGTAAATATAGATTCTCTCAAGGATTCTGAGAAGTAAATTCCCAGAGTATAACAAAAATTTCTATTTTCATTTCTAATAATTTAGTTTTCTAGTCTAACTGTACTAGTAACCATTTTTATTTAAAACACAAAGTTTAATACATTTATAATATGTGACAGGCCAATATAGAAAAGCGCTTATAAATGAATTTTGCCTTCAAAAGAAGACTCCTTCATGGCTCCTGAGAACTAGTGATTTCAGGGAAAAAAGAGAAATGAAGATTTGCTACTGATAAATCAGCCTCTAGCCCACAAACTCTAGTGGTAGGGAGCCCCTCTAGCCTTCTTTCTGTCTCTGTCACTATCTGTCTCTGTTTCTGTCTCATTTTTTTGGTAATTTTTCCTTTTTAAAATTTTTTAAGATAGGGACCAGCAGTTAGCATAGTGGCTATGTCACTGGACTCCCATGTAGTTGACCGCAGTTCAAGTCCTGGACCTGGTGGCTTAAACTCACGCTGGGCGTGTGTGCATGCGTGCCCAAGATCCCGAGAGGAGAATAGAAGAGAAGGGATTGCAGCATGGCCATCCCCCCAGAGGTAGATTTCTCGCTTTCTGTTTCTCTGTCTCTCTCTGTCTTTCTGGCGAGCGCATGCGTCCTATGGCAAAAACCTCTCCAAAAAAAAATTTTTTTAAGTAAAGTATTTTCCTGAATTTCAGCCCCTCCTTTATCTTGCTAATAATCCCCTTTCCCCTGTCCATCCAGGAGAGGCAAAGGGCAGGCCTTCAGAAAAAGGCTCCTCTACAGAGAACTAGTGATTTCCTGTGTTGCACAAGCGTGCTACATGGTTTTTTATTTTTTGCTTTTTTTAAGAAAAAAATAATTTTTTCCCTTCTTTTTCTGTTTTTTTGTTTGTTTGCCTTTTTTTTTTCTCTCTCTGTTTCCCTTTCTTTTTATCTCACCACGCTGTTCCTCAATCTCCATTCTCTGTGTTTTTAGATGGATCTAAGAGAACTATAGCCAAACATCCAAATACTATTAGGGTTAACATATTCCCCAGTATCCACTGAATCTGCTACACAAAGGGATAAAAATGAATCGGCAAGGAGATTCCAGATCACTTCCTTCTGTACGCTCCTGAACACTCAGATTGAACTTCAAGAATTAGGAAGAAACACACCATCTATCAGATGACTAGGAATCACCACAGGGCCATAAGAAATGTGGGAAAGCAAAAAAAATACCTCTTCTGCAAGGGAAAAATATAAGTCCTCTTCATCCACAGACAGTTCAATGGAAATGTCTGATAAAGAATTTAGAATATTCATAATGGTGAAGCTAACAGAGATAGAAGAGAAGAGAGACAATGAACTGCAGAAGAGACAGGAGAAAGGAGCTGACGAGTTCCAGGAGGTCAAGAAATTCTTGTGAGATCTAAAAGAGGAATTACAGGGGAACCAGCAGTTAGCATAATGGCTGTGTCGCTGGATTCCCATGTAGTCGACTGCAGTTCGCATCCCAGACCCGGGGGCTTAGAACTCACACCGGGCGTGTGTGTGTGTGTGCCCAAGATCCCGAGAGGAGAATGGAGAAGAAGGGATTGCGGCGTGACCATCCCCCCTGGGGGGTGATTTCTTGCATTCTGTCTCTATGTCTCTGTCTGTCTGGCAAGTGCACGCGCCCTATAGCGAAAAAAAGAAAAAAAGAGGAATTACATACTTTAAAAACTAATCAAATGGACCTATTAGAGATGAAGACTATAATACAGGAAGTCAAAATCTCCTTTGGAAGTATTAAAAGCAGGATAGATCATGCAGAAAATAGAATCTCAGACATAGAAGAGAAAATTACTGGCCTAGAAAAATCCACCATGGGGAACCAGCAGTTAGCGTAATGGCTATGTCGCTGGACTCCCACGTAGTCAACCGCGGTTCGTGTCCCAGACCCGGTGGCTTAAAACTCATGCCGGGTGCGTATGCGTGCGTGCCCAAGATCCCGAGAGGAGAATGGAGGAGAAGGGATTGCGGCGTGACCATCCCCCCTGGGGGGTGATTTCTCGCTTTCTGTCTCTATGTCTCTGTCTGTCTGGCAAGCGCACGTGCCCTATAGCGAAAAACCTCTCCAAAAAGAAAAAGAAAAATCCATCATGAAGACTGAGAAAACTGCCCCCCAAAATGAGAATAATATATGAGAAATACTAGATACCATCAAACGTCCAAACATCCGTATAACTGGTATCACAGAAGGCAGAGAGACTCATAAGGGCATTGATAATTTATTCCGTGAAATCCTACAAGAAAACTTTCCAAACCCAGAGAGGCATTCAAAGATCCAGTCCCAAGAAATAAAGGACCCCAAATAGAATCAACCCAAGAAGATCTTCTCCAAGACACATTATAGCCAGACTGACCAAAACCACAAAGACAAGATACTAAGAATGGCAAGAGAAAAATGGAAAGTTACCTACAAAGAATATCCCATCAGGCTAACAGCAGATCTCTCATTGGAAATAATGCAAAGAAAAAATGGGAAGATATATTCAAAGTATTAAGGGAAAAGCAATTTCAACCAAGAATACGGTACCCAGCAAGAATATCCTTCATATGGGAAGAAAAGACAAGAACATTCTCAGATAAACAAAACCTGAAAGAATTTTCCAACACCAGACCAGATCTCCAAGAAGTCCTTAAGGGAGTGGTATACCAGAAAATTTAAATATAGACACACAGAAATAAGAGTTCAAAAAAAAGAGTTCAAAAACTAAGAAAATGGCCAATTTAATCGTAGGGACATGTCTGGAGTTGAGTATTATATATCAGAATTTAATCGAGAAGATCGAACCACAACAGAACATAGATTAAGTACATGAGACTGAACTGGTGAAATAGCATTTTATGACTTTTTTTTTTTTTTGAGAGAGATTTTCGCTATAGGGCGCGTGCGCTCGCCAGACAGACAGAGAGAGACATAGAGACAGAAAGCGAGAAATCA